AAAAATATAAAGAAAGGTTCCACAACCCAAAACAAAGCTGGGAAAAGTCAGAGGACCTGCTTAGTGTGCAAAACACTTGCAGCATTGTGGGTGCTGTGGTTTTATTGTATTACTCCATGAAGGGAATGTTGTGGAGTTGTGAGAGTGTTAGAAAAAGAGTACGGACGGAAACTAAGTGCGTGTCTAGCAGGGATTAGCAGCCAGAGCAAGATGTGACAGAAATGTTTCTTTCAAGAGACTGTCATACCAAGAGATGTAGGTGAATTTTTTCAAACCAGTCTTATTGGATCATATCTATAATCAAACCAGGAATTTCTTGTGTAACACAAATCTCCTTTAGTATTACAGCAACTCATCACCTGAGGAGAGTGATGCTGTATCTTTTGTCTTAGTGACATAAGAATCTAATGTGCTTGTCTATATTGGATGAGGAATTAAAGGTAAATTCCTGACACATTGTCTTGTGGGAATTGGAAAGATATCACCAGACGAATAGGAGAGACATTATCTTTGAGAACCAAAAGTGTCTTGGGCCAATATCTTCTGTCCTTTTCATAATGGTGCTAGACAGTACGCAGATTTGGGGTTGGAAATGTTGGATGTCCATTTGTTTCTATTTGAACAGCAGAAATGTCAATGCCAGACTTACTCCATAAATCATGAATTATTTGTGTGCTTAAGGATTTTTAAGGAAACTTAAAATCTTAAAGGATACTACAGGCATTTTACTCAATGATCCCGAAACTCCACTCTTCACAGATCATTCATGATAGGTTGTGGGGATAACTTACCTTGCAAGAGACATGGGTTTTTTTACCAGCTCTTGGCACAACTCTGAAATCAGCTTTAATATATTTGAGGACATTGCTTGCCTCTGGATTGTTGTTTTTTAAAAAAATCTGGAGAATTATTACAGTATGTTTATTATATGGCAGACCTATCTTGGAATTCATTTTACAACCATCTTGAGGGAAAACACAAAGGTGAGTAAGTTAAGTGTGAGTAAGTCACATGTGAGCAAAGAACAATCTGTTGTCAGATATGAGTTCAATGTGTTCAAGAATTGTAGAGTGAATACGAAGCCCTACTTGCATTGTCTGTTTTTCTGCTTTATACAGTACAGTATATACAGTTTATATTCCCGAGACAAAATCCCCATAATCAAGGATAATTAACTGAAGAATATAAACAAAACATACATAGTGCAGAAAGAAGAGGGAATCGGATAGAGGGAATACTCAGACATGCATAGTATATTGTCCAACAAAGAAAATAACCTGTGTGAATGTCAGTACCTTCTGATCAATCCTGTTAGTGTTCACACTCCAGATTTCTCTGTCAGTTTCAGAACAAGAGTCAGAAAACAGACTTTCCCAAGACCGAAGCAGGGCATCAGGAATATATTGTATACCTTTATGAAAGAAGCAGATTTCACTGTCTGTCACAACCATGATTTAGAGATTTACCCTTAAATCTCTCTTTCATAATTCACATTCACGTTCAGGCAGTTCAGTTTTAAGTTCTAGTTCAGTCTGCCTTGTTCAATTACATTTGGATCCAATGCCATTTCAAAGTTTTCTCCACCAGTTTTTAAACTCCAAATAAATTCCAGCACTACTTTTCAAAATCGTGTTAATTAAAACAAAGCTTGTTCTTCTATTCATTGTCACTATAATAAATAAATCATTATTCCTTTTATAAAATGAAGAGATCATTTAATTGTAGAGCCTAAAGTTTTGAAAATTTCTCTGTAGCAGCACATAACCAGTACTTTAAAATTGTAATGTGAAGAAATAACATGTAAGATATATTTGCAGTGGTTAAAGAAAAGTACATTATTGGCCAAAGGCTATGTTTTCTCTCTCTGGAGAAGCAGCAGGTTTTTGTACAGAGTCTCTATGGCAGTAAAACACTGTGGTACACTTTTGGGCAAGGCAC